TGTCTGAGTTATTTAGTTAACGGAGCTATATTGAATCAAAAGCAAATATTCAGTTTTGAGGACTCTATTAAATTTCATAGCACTAGGCTCAAGTGACTGCTTTCCCCTCCTCCTTGCTGATAGTCACCACCGTGAACAAAGCTTCTATCTGTAGAATCTTCTGTCACTCAGTTGTGCTGGCATAGTAATAATAGGAACATCCTTTTCTTTTGATGCATCTTTTCATCTTAAGAAGAACACAGTCAAAGAGTCTTACTGGTTTCAACAGTATTACAAGTGACTTAGGGAAACATACTCAAAGACCGTTAATGGGTTAGACAGTATTATAAGTGATTTAAGTCATCCCTTACATGTGGTATCTTTAGTTACCTTTTGAAGAGGCTATAATCTTACATTTCTTTAAGAAGCCACTTAAAGACTGGTTTTCTCCTAAGTCACACTTCTTTGGCAAGAAACTGAATTCATTAAGTGGCTCCCCAAAATAAGATTCCCACCTCCTATCGTAGGGAACGATATCACAGCATTCGTTTCATAAAACTTTCAAGTTCCTGTATTATGCTTATAGAATCAAGGCTCTTAGAACACAGAAGCCTTCTAATATTTGAAAACCTCAGGGGTACATGTGAGTGTGTGCCTGTGTGTATGTGCAGAGTATTTCCAAACTACTGCAAAGAGATACCCCATTTGCTAAGTTTCTAAGAACAGTTCAGTTCTCTTAAAAAAAAAAGGCAGTCCCAGAGGCTGCATGCTTTGTTTGGCTCTCTCCCAGATAGTTCTTAGCATTAGATGGCTTTGGTTTTTCAGAAAAAGGTTCATGGAAAGGTTTTAAGTGTATAAATTTAATTGTTTTCTTCCTAAAGACAGAACTGAATTCAATTTCCAAATCGATCTTCATGATGGCAAAAAATACCCCCAGAAACAGAAAGACAAGAATGAGGAAACTGTGGCTATTTTGGTCAGCTTCAGTTTCTTCATCTCCGTGGATTATCCTGTCTCCAGTCTCCTGAAGCCTTCCTTGAGTGACCTCACACAGAGCTCTCTAGCTGTCTCATCCATTTCTTACAAAGAATATCCAGTATACCAGATGCAGCAAGGCCACCAGGGCTTGTATTTGCTCCCTGATCCTTTCTTCCTGCTGTTCTCAAAGAATCCAGTTTTAGACCAGGATAGAGCATTGCTTCAGGTAGCCTGCTTCTTTTATACTGGATAATCTTCATCTTCATCATCCTCTTGCTCATATGCTTTTCTAAAGTAAAGTAAAACCTATTCACAGGCCCATGTTCTGCCAGGGCTGTAAGCCTTATGAGCCAGGATAGTGCCCAGAGCCTTGTGGAAGCTGCTTCCTATCCTGGGCTATCTGCAGCCCAAGACTTGGGAGTTGTGGTTACTTCAACTGCCATAAGGCATCCTCCTCAAAGTGCAGAGTAGACCCTCTTGCCTCTAAAGCTCTTTGACATCACATTCACAAATTCACAAAGGAAAGTTGCTCCTGACACAGAGGCAAGGCTTTGGAGTAACAAGAAACCTAGAGACAGAAGCTACTCTGTAATAGTTCAACTCACCACTGAAAATTGTGTTCCAAAGAAGAGATGCCCACCTCCCTAGCCACACCGGCCATTAGCATGGTGCATATAGAAGATGCCCTAGTAAATAACTGAGGGTGCCAAGGCAGAAGAGCAGACTAGCCATGTGTATGTAGCACTCAGTTCTCTACCAACAACCATTTCTTTAACCTTGCCCAGCCACTGCAAGTTGGGTCCTCTGTTGCTGCAAGCATTCAGCATGACACACAGCATCACTCCCAGGGCCCCAAACATGACAGTGGTCAGCTTCCTATGGGAATGGCTTCCCTCTATTCTCCCCCCACCACTGCCACCTTAGCACATACTCAGCTTGTGTCACTGCTGAAAGAAAGGCAGGAATGAGTGGCCAATGACTAGGGGAATGAGGAGCCAAGGCTAAGGAATCATAGTGAGGGAGGCAGAATAGGCAAGGCGAAGGGCACAGTAACCAGCTGCAGCAAACAAAAGTCATTCAACTTAAGGAGTTCAATTGTGTGCAGGAATCTAGGCAGAGCTAGGGCTCTAGAACCAGATGGCATTGTGGTAAGAGCACATCTGAGTATCAGACAAGAGAAGAGGGCTATGGATCAGACTCTGGCAGGCTCAATGTAGCCAGTAGTTGTATGAATGGTTTACAGCTGAGACAAAGAATATGTAACAGAATAACCAAGACAAGAGAAAAACAATTTATTAGGAGCACACCTCCAAATTAAGGAACCAGGAGCTCTGCTGAAGTTGTAGGGGCCGGGCAATGGAAGAAGAGTTACCAGCACCAAGATAGATCTAGATAACAGGGTTCAGGCCTAGGCTTTTATAAGATTTCTGTTGATGCAGAAGCTACTGACACAAGGCCAGGTGTAAACAAGTAACTGGGAGCACCAGGTTGGTGTACAGAGTGGGTAGGTGAGATAAAGCACTAGCCTCCAGCAGGTAATCTTGTTAAGTGAATAGAGAGATATATTGAATGAGGCCAACAAGAGTGTTACTAGGAATATCTTGAGCCCAAAATGGCAGAGCCAAACTTTGACACTGGAAACGGCCACAAACAATACGGTGCCACAAACAATGCGATGCTCAATATGGTTCAGCCCTATTCCCAAATAAGGTCCCCCTGTAAAGAGACCATGTCTGAAATATGGAGACAGCATGCCAATGTGGCAATGTAGGTTTGGAATCAGACAAAAATCAATTCTGTCTCTTACTAGCTGTGACTCTGGCAGATTACTTAACTTCTGTGAGCCTCAATTTCCTTATCTGCAAAATTAGGTTGCCAATAACTTTTATAATAATAGATTTTGCATTAAGGTTTTGTAATAACTCAATTAGTGAGCATATTAAATAGAATACCTGGCCGAAGGCTCAGTGCTCAATAAATGATAGCTATTATTATTCTTTTTTTTTCTGAGACGGAGTCTCGCTCTGTCACCCAAGCTGGAATGCAGTGGCCGGATCTGATAGCTATTATTATTCTTACAAATAGTCATAGTAGTATACATAATACCATTATTGCACACGGAAACACTCCTTTTTACGTATATTGTCTATAATAACAACAACATTATGAATAGTAGCATGGGCAACCCCAGACTTAACAAGCTAATCTGTTTCTGAAAGTCTGAAAGTCAAACCACAGAAGGTTAAAGGCTGCTTACAACGAAATTTGCAACTTTACTCTGAATCTGGTGTTATGCCAGTAAGTTGCATTCTATGCCACACAAATAAAACCATCACATCCTTTATCTCCCTCCCTCCCTCCCTCCTTGCCTTCCCTCATGTATTGCCAGCACTGACAGCAACATCCTGGCAATCACTTGGAAGGGAGTTGGCACTGGTATAGGTCACATTTCCATCTCCATTAGGAAGTGGTAAGTACAAGTTTAGGTACTTACTACAAGGAGAGGAGGTGAATGTGAGGGGAGTAAAAAAAATTTTTTTTAGAGACGGGGTATTGGTATGTTGCCCAGGCTGGAGCGCAGTGGCTATTCTCAGGCACAGTCATAGCTCACTGCATCCTTAAACTCCTGGGCTCAAGTGATCTTTCTAACTCAGCCTCCTGGGTAGCTGGGACTACAGGTATGCATCACCATGCCTGGCTCAAGAGTAAACATTTTTTAAGTCAGATATGGTAATCTACAAGTTGTATCTTCTCATTTGAGAGTCATCTACATTTGTACAGTGCTTCCTAATTCTTATACATAACTATCATATTCGACTTCAAAATAACTGTAAAGGAAGCAGGATAAATATGATGTCTGGCTCATGGAAAATAAAATTTATGAAGCTCAGAGAGGTTCCGGTGACTTACTCCAGGTCACACACTGTGAAATGGTGGAATCAGGCTATAACCTGGATCTCTAGATTTGTAATTTGGTGCTTGTCCACCATAATTGGTCTATGCATGACCTGTGGGGTTAGAGCAGCAGGTACCTTTATTTTTAAAAATCTATTTATATTTGATATTTTTCTCACTTGAAAGAAGCTCTGATTTCTTAGAAATGTAGCCTGCTTCTGAAACTGCCTCATTTTGTTAATTTTATAAGTACAAAACGTAATTATATTTATGGAAAAAATAATCTCCTTAAATTTGATTATCACTTCAATTGATTTTAATGTGTTCAGTATTTTAACGTTACCTTGAACATATTAAATTGAAAATAGTATGTGCATTGTATTATGTTGGAAAATATTTCCTTTAGGGACTAGTAAATTATTTACTGCCCTCAGAGATAAATTATTCACTATAAAAATGCTTTTATGAGTAAAATCATATGATGCTTATTGTGACAGTTTAAGTTTCGAAGAGCCCTCATATTTAAATTTTTTTAAGTGGCACGTTTGTTTCTTATAAGTTAACAAAATTATTCAGCTATCTATAAAATAAATGTACTGTTTTATTCAAGGCCCATGTACTTTGACATATATTATGTCAAAATGAGTCAGCTACAGCTACAGTGGATAATACGTTATTTTTTAGCCAAGCTGACTTTCTAGCTCAGCAGGAAGTTCAGCCAATTTTAAGGTCTTTAAAGTGTTGTAATCTGGTTATTTGGCAATACTATTAGGATACCCAATATCAATTTTCCTAGGGAGAAGTCAACACCTAAGCCAATACTTGTACCAGTAGCTATCTTTTCATATTGTTCAATACCTTACACACACACACACACTTTAATTCCTTTCTCTGAGGAAATCATCTCATATATTTTGTCCCTAAACACAATTTTAGCACAGATTTCTTTTTTAAAGTATAAAATCCCTCACTGAAATAAATTCCATTTGTTAACTAGGAATGACACTTTGTTCACTGCAAAAACAAACTTAGAGAAGCAATCATCAAGATAAACACAAGGAAGGAAACTAACTAATTGGTTCCAGTCAAAGAAACAAAAGCTTTCCATCTTATTCTTTGGCTGTTTTACTTTAAACACAATTACTTACCAAGTGGCAAAAATGCAAGACGGTTTCCAGCCATGGAGAGCTCATTGAGGCTGGGCAGCTGGCAGAGATGGCGCGGCACATACCATAGACGATTTCGGTCCACAGTGAGGTACTGCAGAGAAAGGCACATGTGAAGCCTCTCGGGTAAAGTTAGCAAACGATTGGTAGAAATGTCTAGTGTCTGCAGCTCCTTCAAATCGCCAACCTCTACAACCAAAATCAAAATTAGGATAAATTGCATCCTTATGAACTGAAATAAACAAAATGAATCAATATTATAACAGTTTAACCAAATGAAATCAGTAGCTGCAACTATTTCCATAAACATGAATGCTGAAGTATAAGAGTTTTGGTGAAAATGCAAATAATCCAACCTAGGTGGATGTCTTTAAATTACCCTGCCAGAATTTCTTAAATTGAGAAAAGGGCTGGCTGGCATGGAGAAAAAAAGAGACACAAAGTGGTGAATCTGAACCAGAAGTCTGTCACTATGGCTTCTGCATCTTGATGAGTCAAGTTTGTTGCCAGGGTGAGAAAAGAACAATTACAGTCACTTCAAGGAACCTGGTTTTTGCTACTTGTGTGATTTTACCATCCATCTAAGAAGAAACTAGGAGATTTATGAATAATAGCAATGAAGTAAGTGCAACTTGTTCATATGAGCTAAATAGATTTCTGGAGTAGAAATTAGAATGTCTTTTGGAAATGTTCATCATGGTAAAGATTATAACAATAAAATGAGATACAGTTTAACTAGCATTTTTAGATATTGTTTAGGCATGTGGCACCTTTTAAAAAACCCAAAGTATACATACCCTATAAAGATTTACTTTAATTCCCAAATCAAATACTTCCATTTACTCCATAATTTCCTCATCATTGATGCCTACAGTTGTCATCTGTTCCATGGTGAGTACAATTAGGTCCTTTTCATACATCAAATCACTTAAGACTTGAGGGAAGATTAGGAAGTTCCTTACAAGGAACTTAGTCCCTCAGGGAAAAATCACTATTTTAAGGGAAGGACATTTACTTTTTTCCAGGACAGCACATTATACTGAAGACCTACAGTCAGCACTGTGCAGGACAAGTCTACTTTCACATCATGGAGACTTAGATGTCGAAGACCACTCTTCCCCTTCTTTCATCTGTCCCTATTCCTGAGCCATTCCTCCTAGGTTAAGATTTCCCAGGCTCTACCACTTGACAGTACCCCTCTGTGCACATTCCAGTTTGTACAACAGTTGGATTAGTATTAGCTATGTCTTCTCTAGTGGATAACAGTCTTCTGCCATCTTGGATGCTCAACTGAACAGAGTAGCTTTTCTCATTGCTACAGACCAGGTGGTGGTAAACTATGGCTCACAGGTCAAATCTAGCCCGTGGCCTGCTCTTGTCCTGTCTGCAAGCTGAAACTGGTTTTTTTTTTACATTTTTAAAGGATGGTAAACAACAATAAAAACAAAGAACACGTGACAGAGACCATATGTGGCTTGCAACACCTAAAAATATTTACTATCTGGCCATTTACAGAAAAGGTTTGCTGATCTTTGCTACAGACCTTTTGTTAGAGAATTTAAAATAATTATTTTACTTTATAAAAGTAATACAAGTCCAAAATATCCTAACTCGTAGTTATTTTTCTAATATTTACAAATTTGTGCTGGGAAGTTCATACATTACTGCTCAATTTCCTCAATACTGAACAAAATATACACCTGCAGCGGAGCAGGCAGGTAGGATTCAGTATACAGCCTGTGACTTTGAAAGGGAGTTTCTACTTGAACTTAACTAGTGCACAGGAGAGTCAATTTCATGCTTGGCTCCCTGGCACAGTATTCCACCTTGCTAAGCCTGTCTATCTCTTTCACAAAACAAAAATGCTTCTGATTTTGGGTGTGTGGGGATAAAACATGAGGAAGAATCATCATGTTTTATAAGTCATAAGAAGAAATACAAAGAAAAAGAGAAAATAACTAAATTTAAAAATCAAAAAATGACTATGTGGGAGAGAAGAGCAACCAATCCCAGACTTAACATGGGCAGTGTCAAGACAAGAATGAGACAAGGCCTCTGCCACTGAGAAGCACATCACACACAACCAACAAGGTGCAAGAGGAGCTCAGAGAAGGTTATGTGAAGGCTTGGAGAAACTCTTCCAAAATTTACTGGAGATGGGAATTTGAATAAGGCACAAAGAAAACATGTAAAGGATTCCCAGCAGGGCATGGGGGCGGGGTTAAAACCATGAGGAAAGGCATGCAAGTGAAAAACTAAATACAGCTTGCACAATGGGCTCTTTGGGGACCAACAAATGACAAAGACCAATGGGAGAAGAGCAGAAAATAAATTCAATACAGAGAGACAGAGTTTGGTGGAGACAGGAATGATAATAAATATTGGGTAGAGGAGCCTGGACTTACTATTGTGAGAATATGACATCTCCTGAAGAATCTTAAAGGATGAAGGGATGTTTTTTGGAAAGGTTAGACAGGCAAATATGCAGAAAGCAATGATATGGAAGGAGATACTAGGCTGACAAAACGAGTAGGCATTTGACTAGAACAGATGTAGTGCGATAGAATTTGAAGACAAATTCCAGAGGTACTTTAATGAAAGCATGAGGTAGGCTTGATTTAATATGAAAAATAATAAAATAGGAAAAAGTCAAAGACAGTTACAAGCTTCTAGACTATTACACTTTAAGTGTGCTGATGCCAACTCTAAGAATTTATTTTTATAGAAAAACAATAAAAATGTCAATAAAAAAATTAAAAAATTTAAAAATTTAAAAAAATTAAAAAATAAAAAAAATTTAAAAAAAGAAAAAAAAAAGAAAAACAATAAAAATGTCATCCATACCTCTGAATTGCATTATTTACAAACCATCTACTTAAAGGTATTTGAAAAAAATCCATCAAAATGTACATGGAAGCAAGTAAATGATTTTGAACATATTTCAAAAATAATTAAATGTGCAAAAAAGTGTTTTTACATGGCTGCAAAAATTACTAAGGCCTGCACTTTTTTTTCATTATTGTAAAATGGGGCAACAAGGTGTGATTATGAATTTAAATTTTGATGAGAAATATTAAAAGGCTTAAACTTGATAAAGACCAAGTAGGATAAATACAAAGAGACCCACACCTATACACATCATAATCAAACTATAAAAGACAAAGATACATAAAAAATCTTGAAAGCATCAATACAAAAATGGCTCATCATGTTCAGAGGCAACAAGAAGATAATTAAAAATATACAGTTAAAAAAAGTTGGCACAGTAATTGAAATTGCACACTAAAAATATTTATCTAACATTAAAAAAGGTAATAAAAGGAGAGGTACAGGGAAAAAAATACAAGATATGTAGACTACACATGGCAAAATGGGTGATGTATTAATAAACGTAATCATATCAACAATTACATTAAATGTGAACAGACTAAATAACCCAGTCAAATGGGAAGGCTGTCAACTGCATAAAAAACAATATGCTATCCATAAGAAATACACTTTAGATTCAAAGGCACAAATAGGTTGAAAAGTAAAAGGATGGAAAAAAATACATAACATGCAAAAAGTAACATAAGAGAGAGCAGCTATATTCATATCAGAAAAAAAAGACAAGAAATACTACAAGAGGCAAAGAGGAATATTTCATAATACTAAAATGGATAATACTTTAGAAAAATAAGTCAACTATAAATACATAGACATCTAACAAGAGTCCAACATTATATAAAGTAAAAAACTGACAAAACTGGAAGGACAAGCAGACATTTCAACATGATAGATGGAGATTTTAATACATTACTCTCAATAAAAATAAAACAACTAAACAGAAAACCACCAAGAATACAGAAAACTTAAAACTACATAATAGCCAAATGGGCCTGGGCCATAATTCTAACAGACACACTCCTGAGAACCATAATGCCAAATGTTGAAATCCTGAAAGATCCAAAATCCCGAGTGTAAAATCTTGAATGAAAATCACAATCCTGAAAGATCAAAAACCCAAAAGTATAATTCTGGAAAGAAATAATTTTTAAAAATTCCTTTTTAAAAAAAGACATGTATTTATTTTATAAAGAGGGTTTATTTTAGAAACATAAAAACCTAACAATACTTGATAGGTCACTTTACACAATAAAATAGGCAATAAAAACATATATTTTTGCAAGTATAAACACTCAGATATATTAATCATAGGTGCATGGGTATAATAGCTACAAGCAGAAAAACCATAATCATAAGGAAATATGTCAAAAAGCAAAATGCATAAATGCATACCACTATGCTTGGCAACTGTGTGCTGCCAGCTTTATAACTGCAGTCAGATGCATGAAATACCGTGTTGAACAACCTAAGTCTTCTGAAGAGATCAGTGAAAAACTATGATGGGTCAACCACTGAATACGCAGTTATCCATATCCAAAGAGCCAAGATTTCAAGAAATGTTATCTTTCACATATGCAGATGTACAAAATGGACATCTCTTCATTTACTGAGGAAGTTTCAACCTTTTTCATACATGCACAGTGCTTATACCCAAAGTTAACATTGTAATGATGCACTTTCGTGGACTCAAATTTATAAAAATGCAAATTAGAACTCTCGAAATGTTTACACAATTTATACCTCCAGTGTTGGAAATTATGCGAAGATGAAATGCTCAGCATAACAAACTGGCACTATGTGTGAAGGGGCAGAAGTTGTACACCACTGAAAAATTTGGCAGGGGAGATTTCTTGTATTTTTTTGTCTGCATTTTCACTTCTAATATCTTCAAAACACTCTCTCCACTTGTATTTGGAGGGTGGTTGTGGTCTACAAATTTTTGAAGTGTATGCTGTCTATTTGAAAGTCTGGTTATTGCTTGACCATTACAATTAAGTGATTTTCTGTATTCATAGCACCAATTATATTTTAAAAATTATCTTTTACCATTAAGTAGCTGCATACACTTAATTTATCACAGCATTTTTGCAAAGGAACAATTTCACTGATCCCTTCCATTGTGTTAGAAGGAATATGGTAAGAAGGAATGATACTTGGCTTCCCCAATACCAAATCTGTATTAGAGGTTTTCAAAGAGACAGAACCAATAAGATACGTATACAGATATATGAGAAAGGATTTATTAGGGGAATCAGCTCATGTATGAGAAGTCCCATGACAGACTGTCTGCAAGCTGGAACCCT